ACAACTGAAGGGAAATCTCCCAACTAGCAAACCTGTTTTTCATACATGCATGCTTGGAGTAATGTCTGGTCAGACTAAAGAGAATAATTTGGATTTTTGACTAATTTTTTAGTTGCAATTCTTAAGGTGTATTTGCTAGGAATAGACAGGATTTGCTGGGAGGTCAATAAACCAAGTATTAAAGTCTTACTGATAACCTAATAAAGTGAAATATTGAAAATTTACAGGAAGAGGTGCCTCGGCATGAGTAATACAAAATATGTTTGGAACTCCCTTAAAGATGTTCTTGTAATTTGAAGTACCACAGTACTTTCAGTTGTTTGTATACACAGGTTTATCTGTAAAATTAAATGTGTAATAAAAATAACAAGAACAAGGAAAACTTGCATAAATGTATTCATGATTTTAATGCAAGAAGAAATCAGTCACCTGCTTAGTTAGGCTCAATGATCTGATACAGCATTATAGAAGTGCTGTGTCTTTCTCAGGCCTGTTTTATCTGAGTAGCACACACAAAGTACTTGGTAATTCCTAGATATATAGAAAATGACTTTATGCAGTGAGACAGATATCAGACCCTTTTGGTTTCTTTGTTCTACAATTTCATTGTTTTAAATGTCTCTTATTCTAATTTCCTTGGATTAGTTTTCATTTGTTTCTCTTTCTATAATTCAAGCATTTTCAACTGTCTTTTGAAAAGCAGTGGGCAAAATCAGCAATGCACACTCTATCACCAATATTCCCATGGACATAATGGGCATTTTTTCCTTATTTATAGATGAAAAAAAAAACCAGTGAAAAAAGAGGTGTCTAAATCAGAAGGAACTCTTAGCAGGAGGCTAGGACTTCAGATATCTTCTGTGAAAGAGGAGTGAGTCATACCTTTTTTATTAATTTGTTGGGGTTTTGTTGTTTCAGCTTTTTTAAAATACTGGTAGTGTTTAGAAAGTCCTTAGCAATACTAAATATTGGTTTCTGAGGAAAGCCAACACTGTTTTATATTTGCACCTGTGTAGGCTGGATTGTTTCAATCTTCAGATTTTTATTCCACCTGCCTGAAAATCCCAACTTAGTAAAATGCACACACCTGGGGCTTCCTGACACCCTACAGCACAGCAACTGTGTCTTTATGTTGCACTCCCATTAAATTATATAAAGCTAAATAAGTATTTCCCATTAAATTATATAAAGCTAAATAAGTTTTGAGTGGTTCCATGTGCATTTGCTAGGTGGAATTTGTAGTACTATAAAGCAAATATCCATTACAGCCAAAGAAACTACAATCTCTCATAATTCCATACTGGAAGCCATAGATTTATAAGAACAAGGTCTCTCAGTCTTTCTTGTCAGAATTCTTTTTAAATTTGATTCAAACTTAGCTGCAAGACATTACTGCAAAACAATGATAATTTCATTGCACTAAATTCACTTCAACAAAAATAATACTTAATTGTGGCATTGATTGGTTTGTATTTTTAATAAGACAACCTGATGTTATCTAATTTCAATCTGTCTTCCAATCTTTCCAAAGGGTTTATTAAACTGGCCTCTGAGTGCCATGTATACCCAGAGTAGCAAAGTAAGACACCCTTTTTCCTACCTTTTTGGGAAGAATAATTTTTCGGTAGATTAGGTGAGCTGGCATCCAGGAGTGCTGCATTTATCAGGAATAACCACAGCAGGTCCCTGGTGGCACCCATCTTGTCAAGAGATCCCAGTAAAACTGAGCATTAGATTTTATACTCTGCTAAAATGTGGGGCTCCCAAGGTCAGCCTGGCCCATGCTGTGTCTGATTTATTATGCAGTATTTTTTATGATTAAATGATCTTTACAGAAGGATTACATAGGAGTGATAAAGTTTCCAGTTCCTAGATAATTTGTGTTGCTAGGAAGAAAACAAACTCTATGCCAGCCCTTTATTATACATTATCTTCAACTGTATGTGCTGGCCCAGACTTACCTTTGGAACCCGACTGGTGAATATATGTGTTTCTTTATCTCAACCATCCCAATTTTATTTATTTATTCTTAATAGGTAATTGCTTGATCATGCAGACTGTAAGGTATTGCAGGATGAAGCAGCAAATTCACAGTAGATTTTCTGATAAATTCTTCAGCAGAGAGTCCTGGTCTCAGAAATCATTATATTTTAGTTCTCCATTTGAAACTGTAGGTTTGTTTCCTTGCTGTTTGTATACAAAAATAAAACCCAAAAAAACCAAAAAAAAACCCCAAAAAAACCCAACACATCATAAATGGGATTAAGTCAGGAATAAAAAGTAAATTCATGCCATTTTTTGTGAGGTCCCTAAGTGGACCTCACCTGCAGGGCTCTGTTGAGCTTGCTCTGGTTTACCAGGGTCTTCCCTCAGTCTACAGCTTTGGTCCTCAGATGCATGTGCCAGCAGGACCCCCTTCAACCCCTTCAATCACACAAAATAAGGATGAACTGAAATCAAAAGTCCTGTTGAGCTGGTTTCCTTGGTTGGTCTGTGTGAAGTCTTAATGGAGTTTATGATGACTTAGGGGAATGACAAGTCCTGTCTGCTGGGGTCATTTTATTGCATTTCTACTCTTTCTGCTCACCTGATGAGGAGAATAGAGCTCAGCTAGAAACAGGCCAGTTGTTGATCTAATATTCTTTTCATTACACCCCATCCAGGCTGTATCTTTATGTTTATTTTGGCTACCAAACCAGCTACAACCAAACTGCAATAGTTGAACATAACTCAATATTCTTGCTGGTGTGTTCCAACCCTCCTTGTGAAGAAAGGCACAGCTTGGGTCTAGAACAAGGGGAATAAAGAGTGCTCTTCCTGCAAAGGGTCACAGTGCTCAAATTGAGGAAAGAAAGACTAAAGGCCAGAGTCCAGAAACAGAATCAGAAGCTGTTAAAGCTGTTTCTGAGAAAAGCAAACAAACTGGAGGACAATGGTAAATACAACTGATTGTACTCACATGTTAATAAAGAAATGGAAGCCTGAGCATTGCTATTCACAGCTCCACTGCTCCTGACTGCCTGACAAGAGCAAAAACAATACCATGTGCTCAGTGAAGTCATCACACACTGTCATTGGGAGGGGATCATGAGGTCAATTCTGCTTTAAGATTCTTGAAAAATGAACCAGACTTGTCTCAGTGGTGCCTGTTGGCAGGTTGGGAAGCAATGGGCATAAACTGAACTACAATAAACTCAACATAAGGAAAATGAATTCCACTGTGAGGCTGGACAAGCAGTGGAATAGGGTGCCCAGAAATTTTATAGATTCCTCAAGATATCATTCAAGATTTTCACACCAACTGGGCAGTCCTGAGCAGCTTGTTTTCTTTGACCCTGCTTTGAGCAAGGGGATGGACTTGAGGGTATCCAGATTGTCCAACCATAGCTACTATGAGACAATGTGAACAGAAAAATTATGGATGTTATCAAGGACTTTCAGCAACAGAGAAGGACTGAATGTTAAATTAATCCACAATCATTAAATCTGCTAGCAAGGTTCATGAACACATGAACGTCAGGCTACTTCCTGGGTCTCACCAATGCATTTCTGGCACTTCCAGTAACCGTTTTTTAACTTATATGAGGACCTATGCCTTAATAACAGACACCTTTGATTTGTAGAGGATAAAATTCCAATGTAATCTACAAACCATGCCTCAAATTATCTGTCTTATCTATTGCACGTACTGAGATTAGAGCATCAGGAAGTTTTGTAAAAAACAAAGTATTATAAAAGTCCACAAAAAACGAAAGTTATTGAGACTGCATTCCTGGTAGCAGAACACATATGTGTGTGTGTATATATATGTACACACACATATATATATATATATATATCACATCAGGAATAAATAAAACTTTTGCCTTGACTCTTGACCATTGATTAGTGAGATAAAATACATGGGGTCAAATTTGTCTTACTGTGGTCAAAAGCCTTGAGACACAGGAAACTTTAAGACATTTGTCTAAGAATATCAACCTCAATTAATGCATAACCTGTTTTTTCAGAGGTCAGTGGCTTGCTGGAGCAAGTGTTCAATATAATATATTGAACATATAATATATTGAACAATATAATATACTGTTATAGTTGGATTAAAAACCAAATATTTTTATTCAATTTCAATCAAAATGAAGCAACTGTTGAATTTTTCAATCACAGTTGTCATTTTTAGTGGCTCAGAGCTGTTAAACACTATAGAAAGCCCTGCTGTGTTCATTGATCAATCATTTTCTTTCAGTTTAACAGAGAATAAGAAGACTTACTTACAATAACACTCTGTACTGGTTTCCTGTCATATGCTTCTTGCAAGAGGGAACTTGAACAAAATCAGTCTCTGTATCTGCCTGGGAATGCTCTGCAGGACTTCAATTCCCATATCTGTCCCTTTTCATTTTGTGTTGCACCAGATGGGCCATACCCCACCAGGGAAGCACCCAGCACTCAGACTTTTTCTCTTAGTCTCCTTTGCTTTGCCCCCACAAAAGGAAAACTGTTCAGTTTTAAGCCTAAGAAAGAGGCAAAAATAAATATCAGATGTTTTATGAAAAGCCACATTCAGGTGAAATCTATCTGTACACCACCCATGCCTGAGTCTGACATTCAGATGGTATCCTGGGTCTCACAGCCTCAAAACCCCTTGTATGAACAGACCTGCACTTTCCTTGGGACATGACACGTGTATTTTTGTCACATAGTGAATTAATGTCCCCAGCAGCCAGAACCGCCTGTATTTGAAGGACTTCTGGGAGAGAGTGTGAGAATAACTTTGGGGGATGCTCCTTACTGGGCCATATCTGTGCCTGCCTTAGTGACCCTGCAGCTGAATTCTTTCCTACTGTGTTATTCCTGATCCTCAAACCTGGCTCTTGACCTCCACCCCCTTTTTATACTCCTCTATTCATATCACTCTTAGTTCTTTTAAGTGTTTTTAGCTGTAGTGTTCATTAAATGTTTCAGTTTCCTTTCTGAGTTTTACTGAGAGAAAAAACACCTGACTGGGGGAGTCTGGGACAAGTGGCTCCTGGAAGAGGTGGTGTGAACACAGAAAGCAACTTGGCTCCAAGACTTCCAGCTCTCTTCAGTGTTAATCTGTTCACCTTCTTGCCCTGACCTTGCCTTTAGGCCAGCAGGACCAGCAGGAAGGAAAGAATGCTGCCAGTTGCCAAAGGGAGTGGCTCAAGGAAAGTCAGCTCTCCATGAGCAAAAATGCTTAAATGCAGGAAAAACTACTGGGGCTCAAAAGAGACAATCCACCAGAGGTGTTGTGCTGCTGCTGGGGGCTTTGTGGTGGACATCTAAACCTAAGGGAAATATAGAGGAAAGGAATATGCATTATTGTAGGGGGATACAGTATGGGTAAATGAAGGTGGTGCAGAATGTAATCTTATCCCCCAAAGAGTTGCAGCTGAACCAATTACTAAAGATTAGGAGTAGGCCTGATGGTAACAGGCCACACCTGTAGCAAATAAGAACAGTGTTATAAAAGAGTGGATTGGTAGGAACTGGAGTCAGGTTGCTGCTGCAAGGATCAGGAACAGTCCGTGCTTAGAGGAGCTGCCTACAAGAAACATTGAGGAGGTGGGAAACTCTGAGGCTATGGAACTCTTGCACTAAAATGATAACAGAACTCTTGATATATAAGACAACATCTTCCTGTCTGTGTGAAAGGTATTTTCAAAGCAAGAAACAGAAAAGGAATCAGTCATTTAACAGTTCCACGGTAATTACTTCCCATCACCAATCAGTTTATAATCCCTTGCTCAACTTTTATGATACTTTTAAGCTGGTACAATCTGATAAACTTCAAAGTCCTTCTCCAGAAAGATAAAACTGACCTTATATACACCATTTTGTCTAAATGCTTTTGCCTGTTCTTTTACCTTTCCAAGAGTGTGTTTCTATGTCTGCCTTTAGCTAGCCTCATTATTTCTTCCTTCGTTCTCACAGCTTGGCAAGAATTACATATTTCTGAAGCCTTTTAATAACCCATGAGTTTTGAAAATGTATTTGAAACGAATTCCTTGGCCACAATATTACATCTTTGTCAAGGATTTCTGTTCATCCTATATACCTCACAGAAATTATCAAAATTAAAAAGAAATCATCTTAAAGTAATATTCCTTCTGCTTAAATACAGAAATGCAAAAAAAAAAAAAAAAGCTGAATTAAGCTACTTTAAAAATAATTAACTGTATTTACTTGCAATGTTAGGGGATTAAAAAAACCCTTGTCACTAAACTTCTGTATATATAGTGTTTAAGGACATTCAAAAGCTAATACAGTAAGAATTCCTTTTTGTGATATGACTGTGGTACCATGTCTCACAGTACTTGTGTTTCAAGTCTATTTATGTGGAGAGAAACACCTGTGGTCCTCAGGGAAAGAAAAGCTACATTAAATTTACATAATATTCTTTATCCTAAAGAAGCCAACTGCACTGAAGGTCGGAATTCCCAAACATGTAAGTCTACATTTCTAACCAAGAGTGGATTTGATAATTTCCCCACTCAGCCCAGCAAAGTCTTCCCAGAAACTCCGTGGACAGAAGATATCTATGTGTGCTGCCCCATGCTTTGTCTGTTCTAGGAACTTTTTCTTTCAAAGCTCAAAAACCAGGAAAAACCCTGAAGAGCCATAATGAAAAAGGCGGGATTACTGGTTTTGTATTTTTTCTAATCAAGGCCCCAGTAATTTATATCCTTTGTATAAATTGTGTGCCTTGATTTGTCATTTAAAGTAGAACTAGATTTTTGTTTGTATCTGTCACAAATCTTTAAACTTATTAGTACTTTCTACATTCTTCCTTGCAGTAACCAAAGATCTAGAAGAATCAGGCAGTTTCTCTTTGAAATGTGCAGCTCTAATAATCAAAATCTGCACCAAAGAAAAAATACCAATGAACAAAAGAAATTTCTATCTGCAGTCCAGTACTCGGTGCAACACAATCTAGTTTTCTGTTTTGCATGTTTTATTTTCCCTGAATCATACAGGTAGGAAGATGGAAAACAAAGTGTAGTATGTGCCATTTCCATTCACATTTACCTTTTTTTTCCCACCTAACTGGGCAGGTAATTTCTGCCAGGGTGCTTTTTATGGTGTGAGGGATGCTGTACGCCTGACCATGTGAGGCAGCAGTATTTACTGAATGAGTGGGCAATGACACCTGTAAATACATCTCACATTACCCCCTCTTCACAAGGCATTCTGTAACAATTCATAGACTGGGAAGAGAAGTTAGTAGATTTTGCCACAGCAAAGGAAACCAGTTTTACACATATATTGCTGTATTAAATATTGCACGATGGCAAATATGCATTGACATTTAACTGTGAGCCAAGAGAAACCATTAAAATAAAATATTTGAATTAGCAAATGTTTAAATAAGTTATGTGCATAACTTTTCTACTATGACTAGTCTCCCAAATTCTTTGTAAACCACTGGGGCAGCTAAGTGTTTGCCCTAACTTCTGCATGATCAGGCCTCCAACACACTTCTGGAAATCCATCCTGAAGATATTTGCTTAACTACTCACTGCTCGAGTGAAGCTCTCAGTTGGTAAATTTCACAATGATGGTACATATTGAGGGCAAACATACCTCAGCCCCCACACTGGAAAACTCCCCAGAACCAAGCCGGAAACCTGTGTCACACCCTCCTGCACAGTGCACAGCCTGGCACAACCAGGGCATGGCCAAGCAGCAGGTTTTATTCTTTACCATTCAAAGTCAGAGATGAGGTCTGTTCAGTGGGCTCCATGCTGTGTTTGCTGTTATAGAAATAACTAAGAATTTATGGCCCAGAATTTGGCTGCACTGTAATTCATGGGCAGGCACTGGCTGGCCAAGGGCTCACAGCCTGCTGGAACAAGCTGGCAAGACTTGCTTGCCTAAGCCAGGAATTTCAGCAAACATCTCTTGGTCAGAGAAGATGAATTTTGTATTGGTTTATTTATCTAAATACAATGGAAAGAACAAAATGGGGAAAGGTGATGGAGACATCTTAAAATGAGAGGATATAGAATATATTTTTATGACTTTCACTGATATTCAGCTATATTAGACTGACTTCAAGCTCAACAAATATGGACCCAGAACAGGTCAGATCCACAGAAATATTCAAAGTACTCTGGAAAGATTCTGCATTGTGTTTGCAAGTTAGAATTTAGTGCATCTCATCTCTTGCTATATCCTATCCTCATCCCTGACCTAGATGCTTTTCTTGAGGATTTCACTGTGCTGCAGCTCTGGCTTTGGTGTTCCCTGGTCCATGTGAATACAACAACACAATGAATCTACTCTGTCCTTCGTAAGGATGGGTGAGTCATCCCTTCAAAAAGAAAGAGACAATAGCCATTGACTTATTCCATTGTTCTCTTTGTAACTGCCACCCTACAGTGTAGCAAGATTGGTGTCGTTTTGAACCAAGAACTTGAGCTAAGAATAATAATAATGCGGGTTTTTACTGAAGTGACAGAAATAAATGTCAATACAACCCTTTTCAAATAAGATTTGGTAGAGCACTTCAGGGAAGCATGCTTAAAAAGCAAACATATGAGAGTAGATGTAATTTATTAATAATCATCATTTACATTAACTAAGAGCACTTAAAGAACTACACCATTTGCCCTAAACTTAAGATTTTATATAGAACTGGAGAAGACTTATGCATAGTCAAGGAATGGTGAGGAGAACTTCAGGCCTTAATGCCAATGTGACAGTGCAAATACCTCTTTGGGGACATTGATATATTTTCTATTCATTCACCACTATTTAATAGAGGGGGAAATTATGGAGCTGTGTGGGGTTTTGCTGCAATTTTGTAGGTTGTGGTTGCATGATAACAGGTCATCAGAAACCATTAGCTATTCCACTGGCTTAAGTCACAAATATGAAACCCTTGTGTGTCACTGAACTTCCATCCGGTTCAGTCCTCAGTCCACGATATCTCCCAGCCCTCTTCCCCTTCAGGACTCTTCCACTGAAAAATTTCCTCCTGCTGTGGTGCAATTACTTCATCACTGTGGCACACGAAAAGTAAAAGGCACTGCAGTCTGATCTAAGCTTTTTTCCCTTGGGAAGTTTTGAACACATTTCCAGCTCCCACTCCTTATGTGGTGCAGACCCTTCCCCAGCTCCCTGCCCTTCTCTGGACACACTCGAGCACCTCAGTGATAGTTTGCAGCGAGGGGCCCGAAACTGAACCTGGGGTTTGAGGTGCCACAGCAGTGCTGGCTCCCTGTACATGCCACATGATGGCACTCAGGATTAGGTGTTACAGGCACAGGATGTTTTGCTGTGCTGATCTATCAGCAGATCTGGCTGTATTTTTCACTGGCAGAAACATGATATGCATCTTGAGAAGAGGGATTTTATGGTTCATGTGCTGTGATTAAATAAGAAAGCCTAATATTGCAGGGTAGTGTCCTGGGTTGACTATATGATGTTTTTATCCCCAATCGTCTCGTTTTGTTATGCTGAATAATAAGTTTTGTATCTTTAAGACTTGTTGCAGAGAGTGAAGGGGGCAGAGAAGAAGTGCACAGTTTTTTTTCAGACACTGCTGTCACTCCTCCACATTCCTGCTCCTGACTGTGTTGTCTGCGGATGGACAGACAGTGGGACAGAGCTCTTTATTGTTTTTAGTTTATCTAGCTGAGGCAAAGTTCCTTGGATTGTGGGGTTTTTTCCCTTTTCTTTGCCCTGTTTAACATGCTCTGGCCTGAACACCCAGGGAAGCACCGGCAGCTGCACCTGAGGCCCACCAGGCCGGGCCTGGCCTTCGACATTTCCAGCACTGAGGGACTGATCAGAGACTGAGTGAGCTGAGCTGCAACCTGGGGAGGGACTTTCTCAGTTTGTCTCTCTTTTGGAGCGGCAAGGGGTTTTATTGGTTAATATTGTTTAGGTTTTATAGTTTAATAAACAGGTTTTTTCCACTTTTCTCCAAGGAGGTATATTCTCCTGAACCGGTTAGGGGGAGGGGCCGATTGAATTTGCTTTTCTATTGGAGCTCCTTTGGGGATTCTATCCCAAATTTGCTCTAAGCCAGGACAGGTGACAACCTATCTGTGGGTTGCTAAACTTTCCCTGATCTTTTGGCTTCTTCAGTGTTGAGTTAGGTCAAGCCCACCTCTTTTCATGAAGTGAGCCTCCACCAAGGAAAGCCAGACAAACTTGGGTTTTAATCTTGAATCATCAATTATATTACTCAGTACTACAAAATTTCTCAAACCACCCAGCTACTCAGACAATGTGACCAGGTGTTTAGCAAGGTTTACATAATCTGTATGGAATCACTTTCTTCATTTTCTGCTTCAAAAGAAGCCCATCCAGAGTGAGAGCAGTGACTGAGGGGGGCCCTCATCATGGTCTGAAGCTTCTTTGTGAGGGGAAGTGAAGGACAGCACCAACTCTGGTGGCCAGTGACAGGGCTCAAGAGCGTGGCCTGAAGTTGTGGCAGGGAAGTTTAGTTGGATTTCAGGGAAAAGTTCTTCCCCAGAGATGCTGGCACTGCCCAGGCTCCCTAGGGGATGGGTACAGCCCTGAGGCTTCCACGGCTCCAGGAGTTTGGACAGCACTGCCAGAGTGGGATTGCTGGGGTGCCTCTGCAGAGACAGGAGCTGGACTGGATGATCCTTATGGATCCCTTCCACATTCTGTGATTCTGTGAACTGCCAGGGGCTGACAGCAAAAATTAAATTATGCTCAGGAAACATCAGAGGGAACAGCAGCTGAATTCGGGTTTTCCTGTATGACAAATGAATTCAGCTCTGGGAAAGATGAAAAGACCTCGTCATGCTTTATCCCTCATTGTGTTATGTCCCAAACCTTAAAAAATGCTGGAAAATATTGTTCTAGATTAACAGATTTCTTGCACTCTAATACATCCAGACTCAGGTGTACATTAATAGAGCTTGTTTATAGAACCTAAACTGCAATTTCGACATTCCAGTTTTACCATTACAAAAGCAAACAACAAACCAAAAGCTTAAAAATCACAAATATCACTCCCCACAGAACTGCTGAGGTAGCATTTCTGTTATATGGGGACGACTGATGTGAAGTGGGATTAACAGGCATGAGTCAGAGAGCACATTCCTAATATTTATTCTAGAGCTTCTGGCAACTTTGCAGCATGGTTTCTTACAGAATTCAATTGGCATTTGATGATGCTATCTGTCAAAGGAGACAGTTTTACTCAGACCCGAGTTCATCCATTATCTCAGGTTTCCAAAGCTGTATTGGGCCAGCAACAACAATCACACTTTCTTTCTCAGAGCTGGCCTCTCTCTTGGACCTTCGAAGACAGCCTTGGTAGCACCTGGAGGAATAATCATAGGCCCTGCAGACCACCAGCTCACACTGCAGGTAAACCTCTGGGTTGCTCTGAATGAACTGGAAGGCATTGAATTTAAACCTGAGGGTGTGTTTGAAGGGTGAGTAATACGTAGCATAGGTGGGATCTTTGGCACACCTAAAAAGAAACAAAAAAAAAAAAACCCTCTCATGAATACACACTGCAGTCAGTCATTTACATGCAATAAAACACACATGAGAAGTGATTTTTAATCATAGTGAAAACAGTTCAGAAAGCTGCAAGCTGGAAAACCAAAATGCCCCTTTTTTGCATAATTCAAGCACATTGCCTTTCCTCAGCCTGTCGTGTGTCTGATACCTGGTGTTTGTATGATTCTGTGAAGGTAAATTAACCTTACCTGAGGCATTTCACTATTACCTTCTAAAAATTAATATTTATAATAATTAATTAATAATTATTTTTAATAATTTTAATAATTTATAATTTAATAATGTAATTTGATAATTAGTAATAAAGTAAAAAATAAAAATAAACTATTATAATTACAAAGATATAATAATTATAATATCCATCGTAAACTGGCCATAGCCATTTGGTCTACTTTTTATTTTAAGCTGTGGTGTGTTTGTTATATTTTGGGTCAGTGCATCTCCCTTTTCCCAGTAAACCCTGAATGCTCTTGTCCATTAATTAATTAAAAGCTGCCATTATCGTACGCTATATTCACACTATTCCATTAAATTAAAAAATAAAAATTAATAAGAGATGCAGGAATTTGAAGGCAGTTTTATCTGTAATTGTAATTCATAAGAACTCACCCATTCTCGATTATAGGATAGGACTTTGTTGTAAAGTTGTGGCGAGTGGGAGATGCCACACAAGTGTCCAGAAATAACTCCAGGGATGGGTCAGAGCTGTGCAGGGAAGCTTGTAGGAACAAATTCTGGTTGATGCCAACACGGTAGGGTGAGTCATACACTGGCCTTGAGAAGCTTGAGGAGTTATAAAATGTGAGGTTGACATCGTATCTCTCATACTGAGTTTCGTTGACTTCAAAGTTGTCATCCGCGACGTACATCGTTTTTGCCCACGTGTTCTGGAGCATCTTGCAGTTGACATGCAAGAGAAGATTTCTATTTCTTGTGATTAATGTACCAGAAGAGGACCCTCTAATAGTGTTGGAATAGCTGATTGTGTCGTTGTTCCCCTGTTTGGCACATAAAATATAAAATTAACTCATATATTCAGGTACCCTACTATACATTCTGAACTTTGCTGTATCCTTACAGCAATGTGCACTGTAAAAACATTATTTCCCAGAAAGTCTGATGTGGAAAAGTCTGAATCTAGTAATTTCTGTTCTCAAGCTAAGAGTCTGTAATCTTCATGTGATATTCAGTGCCCACAATTTTGACCTAGAAAACTACTCACAATAAATGCAGACATAACAGAATTAAATACTACCTGTACAACATTAAGTACGTGAAGGTTCAGGTCTGGCATAATATTTAGCTGAAATCTGGCTATGACATTATTAGTCATGTTTAGTGAAAGCTTTGAAACTTTTATAGCTATCACACTCAGCCTGGGACCTTGAAAATGCCAAGTACTTGTATCCTTCCACAGCTTATTCCTTTGGAGATGGGTAACAGGCTGTAAGGGAATGCTCTGTTTGCAGAGGCAGGGAATGCAAGTGCAAATATCCTTCAGGAGACAGGGAGACAACCCACAATCACCAGGACACTTCCAGTCCCTGCAGGTGCCAGGTAGTTTTCAATTTGTGCTGGTTTCCAAAGAAAATTCTCCTGTTTGAATTTTTATATCCTCCCGTTTTTGCCCATTTTGTTGAAACATTCAGTCCTACCTCTCTGACAGTGCCGCAGCGAGTGTACGGAATGTCAAATGACACAGAATTTGATGTGATGTTGGGTGTGCAAAGGGGGTCGTTCAGGGTCAGGTTCCAAGCAGAGTAGCCGTGGGACTGAAGGAAGTATCTGCTCACAACCACGTGCATGTAGTCTGGCAAACACAGCAGGGCTAGTGGATGGCAAAGAAAATATGTCACAGGCTCAGTAAAGTGACCAAAAAAGGTTGTAAGCAGTGGATTAAATAAACACCACCTTTTGCAGAAGCAGCTGATATGGCAGAAGAAGCTCAGAATCCAAACCATGGACTTGAACCTCCACAAAACCACTACAGATCTAACTTAAATTTTAAAAATCTAATTTAAAACACTAACAAGATTAACAACCAGCGAACTAGATAATAATTGAAAAGCATGTTTCTGCTTTAAAGATGAACTTACTGGTGCTGTCATCAGCAGGAGTGGAGTGATAGTTGGCCTGGAAGCCTCTGTACGTGTATCGGGAGTTGCTGTGGAAGCGGACGCTCAGCAGGTTGGAGGACGATGTGTATGTGGGGTAATAACCAGAACAAATCTTCCCAAGGAGAGGAGAGCTGTGCAGGGGCCCATCATAAATTTCCACGTAGTCTGAGAGGCATCTGCCACCTTCCATCCTGGCAAGCAACGTAGCTATTTAGTTTTATGCTTCGTTTTTATGTTCTTTTGTTTTTGTTTGCTTGTTGGTTTGGGTTTTAGACAGATTAGCTCTTTATAGCAGAAGAATACATTTGATAGATATGACTGTCAAACCTTTGGAAGAGAAACTACAGCCTCCACTTTCTATCTCAGTAAATGCCAGCCATGTTTTTAACTAAATAAGCAAAAATTAATATATTTTCCCTCTCCAGATATACTAAAAGCTTTGATAAAGATCCTTGAAATCAAGTAGGTTTTGCTTAGTAAGTCCAAGTTGTCAGTCCCATATGTTCACCTTCCCATATAATAAATTTCTACTTACTGAATATCTGTAAATGTAAGCGTGACACGAAAGTTGCTTTCTACTTGTATTTCCCACACACAGTCAGCATTGTTTGGATAGTTTCTGGGGTAAAATGGGCTCTGTAAGGTACCAGATGAAGAGGAGAGCAAGCCACCACAAGAATAATCTTCTGCAGAGAAAAATACAAGAAGAAAAAAATATGTATGCACCTTGAGGGTTGTGTTTGGAGTACATCTGTGTGAAGTTTATGTCTAAATGTATGTCTAAATGTAGAGACAGTGACTTCTATCAGCTGCAGTGGCCTCTCCATTAGATTCATATACATCTGAAAGCAGGTTAGGAGATGCTAACCACACTGAATAGTTTTTATAATGCTGATCTGCAGTGCCTGCACTACAGGACACAAATATTTTCCACAGCACTGGATAGTTTTGAGGCTGGAATTGTGGAGATCAGCTCTTCCTTGAAAGAGGTTCCCCTATTACAATTGCTAATGACCAAAAGGAGGAGGAAAAAAATAAAATAATTTTGTTTCAAAAGAAAAAAGTGATAAATATCCAACTAATAAGTCCTCCAAACCTACCTGAGGTTGGTGACGCAGTAGAAGTATTGGGAGCTGTTGGGAGAGAGCAGCAGGTGATAAGAAATATAAAATACATTCAGCATTTTGCCTAAGAGAAACCGCCCTCTGGGGGTCAGCCCTCCCCAGAAGAGCCCCTGAAGGGACACTGCAACACCAGACCCACAATCACTGCCTGGACATGTGGTGGGTCCCTGGTGGCTCCAAGCCCTCCCTCTCCACCCACCAGCCCAGGGTCTTGATCTCCTCTGTTAAAGGTCAGCAGGGTGGGGTGGAGTGGACCCTCAGCATGTTTGGGACCCTCAGCATGTCTGGGACCCTCAGCATGTTTGTGGTGACACCAAACTGGAAGGAGGGGATGGTCAATCAGAAAGTGCTGCTGCCATTCAGAGGGAGCCTGGCACTGCAGACAGAGCAGCAGCCAGCCTCAGCTGCCAAAAGGAGTTCTCTGCACTGTGGCTGAGCACATCAGCTCCCTTTATTTTGGAAAAACAAGAAGCAGCCCTTGGCCTCTGAAGCAATGAGTTTGCCAAGGCTGATCAATTCCTCTGCCTACAGCACAGAGCAGGAAAATGGATGATAGCTCAGTGGCAGCACAGGGGGAGTTGGAGAGAGTCCCATTCCTGCCCACCAGGCAAAGAAACAGGGTCTGGCAGCAGCTTCATGGCCATCCTCTCCTGAAAAACCACCCTTGAGCCAGGATGCCTCTAAGTGTCCCCTCTAAGAGGGTCTGGATGCCCACAAGGTGCTGAGAGCCGTCAGAAGCTCTTTGTGATTGAGCTTGAGCCCCTGCCCTGGCAAGGAGTTAAGGACAGTCCCGGTCTTACCCATGGTGGTACTGAAGGCAAGAAATGAGGAGTAGTAGGCGTGGAAGCCCCTCCTGGTGACGCTGCCGTCGCTGCGGAGCAGGACGGTGAGCTGGTTCTCAGAGGAGGTGAAGACACGGTGGTCGTTCCAGCAAACACGGCCCAGGAGCCTGCTCTGGGGGGAGCCTCCATCAAACACCTCGATGGCATCGTAGGAGCAGCTGCTGCCCTCCAGCCTGCAGGGAGAAAATGTGGCCTCAGCTCTCCTCACAGAGAGCAGCATGTAGGAAAGGCATTTTGTGCTGTTCTTGTGAGCCAGAGAAGGCCTCCTGAAGATCAGGAAAGCCCCGTGTCTTTCTGGAGGAAGACACCAAGGTTGTCACCTGTTGGAACCCAGGAAACTCCTCTGGCTGCCCTGGAGGACTCGAGCCCCTGCCCAAGACCCCTGTGCCCTTGATTTAGCCCTTGGAAAGAACTATTACCAACTTTATATGAAGAATTACAAGCCACAACAGTTTAAGTAGAATGATAGTGAATTTATCACAGGGTGAAAAATAAATTTTTGGGGTTTTTAGAATTGGGATTCAGGGGACAAGATGGAGGAATCTGGGTGTGTCCCACCTTTCTTCTTCTTGGCCTCCATCTTCTGCTCTGATGTTGACACTCTTGGATTGATTTAGAGTAGAAGCTCACTGTCTAACATAGGTGATAGGTATTGGAAAGTAATTGTAAATATTGTACATGTAGTTATTAGTATAAAAAGATAACACCACCTGGGGGCTGGCAGAGTGCCTCTCTGTCTTGCTGAGAGGACTTCGTCTGGACAGGAGAAAAAATTTTATAGACAAGGAAAAGTAAACCACTTTGAGACCAAGAAATGAAGAATTCTGACTCCTCCTTCCACCACCAGGCTGGGAAAAGAGACTTTCTGACACATCTTGGGGTCACTCTAACCAGCTAGAGACCCCGAGAGTCACCATGACAACGTGATGAAAGGGAGAAAGTTAAAAGATATGGACTCTAGCTGGCACACAGAATGACATGGCTCCTTGTTCACATATTGAGAACTTTGTTTCTTTCTTATGACCAACGGGCAGTGAATGTGTCTGTTAAGTGAGTGTAAATATCTTGAAAAACTACAAAAGCAACCTGTTGCTGTAATAAATCTCTCTTATACACCCTTCTGATGGAGTCTCGGTGCTTTGCGTCGTGTCGTACTCTGTAGCGACAGCACCAACAGCAGGCACAAAATCCCCAAGGAGTTTTCCTGGGGAAGGCAGTGAGAACCTCAAAGGAGAAAACAATTCTTATCTCTAGTCACTGCTCCTGTTTTTGTACTTGTGGAACGTGTTATGGAGATTGTTTACCCAAAGTGATTTGGTTAATTGGACATGGGTGAAAGTTGTTTTGAGTGATTAGCCAATCACTCAAAGCTGTGTCCTGGCTGTCTCAGACATGACTGTCTGTCTGGGTTTTTCTTTAGTATTCTTTAGTATAATATCTCTTTAGCATAGTATCTTTAGTAGTATAGTATCTTTAGTATCTCTTTAGTTATACTATAGTATTAATGTAATATAATATAGTTTTAATGAAGCAATTTGTTCAGCATTCTGAATCATGGAGTCAGGGCATGTTATACCCTGGCCTGTCTCTACTATAAGAGGAAGATCTGTCTGAGCACAGCTGCAGGGACCAGCAGCCACATTCCCACCTCACCCCA